ATACTTGTTATTCCTTGTCTTTTGGATAGGGGCCATTCTAACTGGTGTGAGGTAATGTTTCATTGTGGTTTTGATTTGCATTTCCCTGATGATTAGCAATATAGAGCATCTTCTCATGTGCCTGTTGGTCATCTATATTTCTTTGGAAAAATGTCTGTTCGGGTCCTTTGCCCATTCTTTAATCAGGTTATTTGATTTTTTGGCATTGAGGCATATGAGTTCTTTATATATTTTGGATGTTAACCCCTTATGGCATGAAACATTTATGAATATATTCTCCCATACTGTAGGTTGCTTTTCTGTTCTGCTAATGGTGTCCTTTGCTGTACAAAAGCATTTTAGTTTGATGCAGTCTCACTTGTTCATTTTTTATTTTGTTTCCCTTGCCTGAGGAGATATGTCCAGGAAAAAATTGCTCATATTTATGTTCAAGAGATTTTTGTTTGTGTTTTATTCTAAAAGTTTTGTGGTTTCATGTCTTACATTTAGGTCTTTAATCCATTTTGAGTTTACTTTTGTGTACTGAGTTAGACAGTTTAATTCTCTTACTTGTAGCTATAAACTCACTTCTATTTTATATAAGTCACTACATTGCAGCCAAATCTGTGTGCTGCCTTATTGCTGCCCTACAGTCCTCACTTAGCCAGGCAAGGACTGGGATGGCCTGTCCCCTCTGACCTTCATTTACCACAATGTGCCACATAAAATGATTAACACAAATGAGTTGGAAAGCTCTGTGAAGTGTTTGAGTAAGGATGTGAAATGAAAACAATTGCATTGTAAAAGAGTTAATCTGAGTAAGGCATGGCAGGTCAGTGTTACCTGAGGCTAGGAATGGGGACGGCAGGCATTTACAGCAAAGGGGCATGATAGAACTTTTTGAAAGGGTGAAATGTTTTATATCTTGATTGTGGTTGTGGTTAGATGAGTATATATGTTTGTCAAAACTAACTAAACTTAAAATAGGTGATATATATAATCACTTCAATAAGGTTTATCAAAGAAAGTAATTTGGCTGTGTTTGTGCAAGAGAGATCAATGGGAGGAGATAAGAGGTGGGGAGAGAAGATAAATTGATGACTTCAATCAAAGCTTTAGATAATTGTAACTTGTTCTGGCAAATAGTAGGACGAGTGAAATTACATAGATGCAAGAGTCACTTTGAAGCAAGAAGTAACAGAATTTGGAGACAAATTAAGATTGGACATATTGACTCCCATGCAGAACAATCTGGATTTTTATGTAAGGCATCAGCAGAGTTTCACCCCACGCTGATGAAGATGCTGTGTCACAGAATGGAGGGGGAGGAAGGTAGGGCACTGGCACTTACTTGTTAAATAAATTTCCTCTAAACTTCTCCTGTTCACTTGTAAAATAGGGTTATTAATGACTATAGATTGCAAAAAAGGGCAGAAAAATATGTGTAAAGTAACTAGTACCCTGTGGTATGGCACCCAACATGCACCCATAAGCACGTAAAATAAAAGATAATGACAATAACATAACAGAGAATAAATGAGCTTTCAAGATGATATCAGAGACTCTCTCATCCATGATTCTAGGAGGAGCCTGGATGTGAGAAAATAAGAACTCAGTTAATAGAAAAAATGAATCTGTTTATAAATCACAGGATGATAATAGGAAGGGGGTTGGGTGAAGTAACATAGCACTTGGCAGTATTTTTTAAAAAGAGGGTGGCTCCTTTGCCACAGAGGATTCAATGGTGCATTCACTTCTATTTTCTTCACCTCCCTTGACTCATCCACAGGAGTGGGAGTTCAGATAAAAGGAAGTTCTTGTAGCATCCCGTTTAAGATTCTCTGCACATAAGATTTGGTTCTCAGCCCATTTTCTGTCAGGCTTCCTGAGATCAGAAAGCAATGTGTAAAAAATTTCAGGCTTCACAGTGAACTCTCCTGAGCTCCAGCCTGGAATTTGCAGCTGACTGTAGACATCTCCATCTGTATGTCCTGCAGGCACGTCCAACTCTGTACGTCCCAAACCAAATTAATTACCCTCCCGCACACCAGTTCCCCTCCGGTCTTCTATCTAGGTTAATGCCATTGCCAATTTAATGGCACAAAATCTAGAAACTTTGAGTCTTTAACTTCTTGTCCCATAATCCCCAAAATAAAGCTGCTACCAATGTTTGTGGGTTTACTGTGTTATCTGTTTCATGCACTCTAGTTTTTTTACTTCCATTGTACTGGTGAGGATCCTTCTGTCTCTCCAGGACCACAACAGCCATCTAGTCAGTGCCTCCGGAGTCTCCAGAGTCCTGTAACTCCAGAGCACTCCGTACTGAGATGGGGTAAAGGCTGGCCCTCCTCACCTCCACCCTCCCCGCCACGGAGTTGTGCAATGGGTTCACCTGTCTCCCTCTTCCTAGTTTCCCACGTGGCTAGTACAGTGAAATTCCTTTATTACTTCTTTTCTGAAAATATTTCAGTGACTCTCCACTGAATTTACAAATTGAGATCCAAACCTAAATTTCACCCATTTCCTTTTCTATAGTATCTCTTCAGGCATCTATGATCTACCTACTTTGAAGGACAGGCTCTGCCCCCAAAATAATGTACACTTTATAACTTCAGAGAAATGTGCTCCATTGTTGGCTAAGCTCCACCATTCCTTTCTAACTCAGCTTGAAGGCCATTTCCTTCATGTGGTTGCCTTAATTCCACTCTCTTCTGCCTCATAGTCACAAACATGCATATTCCTGTATTAATATCATCTGTGGTTAGCATAAGTGTCTCTCGACCCCATTTTTACAGTGCTTGAGGATAGATACCATCTCTTCCTGCCATCTCTGAATCTCTAGGGCACTTTGACTTGTCTTTTGACCAGTCTGTAAATAATCTTTAATTTTTACTTTTAAAAAAATGGTGATTTTTACAAAATAAAGATTTTAAAAGTTCCCAAAGAAACAGTTAACAATTTTGTTTCCAGTGTACCTCCACAGTGAACTCTCTCAGCTCTGCCATATAAGGTGCACTTTTTTAAGTCCCTTGCAGTTTTATTATTACAGGTGCGCTGCTACCATAAGAGATCTTTATAGACCACAGTTATAAATGTCATTTGTTCCCATTAAGCAAGTGTATTATATAAGATTGTTTAAATCTATGTTGACTATTCTATAGAGCACTAAATCAGGCAATATATCAATATATCTCAAGTCTAAAAATATAAAAATAGACTTTTATTTATAATTTGAGGACTTCTTGTATTTTTTTTACTGAGCTCAATATATGCTTGTTCTTTCTGAGACTACGAGACACAAAGCACCCAAATTTGACCATTATCGAAATAATTCAAATAATAGAGCTGTCTCAATCATTTGGGCATTTTAGGTGAAATTATGGGAAGCTGGGGATGTTGAGGAAATTATAAAAAGGATTCTTTTGGTTCTAAGTGATTTACTCAGTTTTCAATTAAATCAATAGAAGAGATGAAATCTGGCAGTTGATTTCAAACATATTCCTTAGACTCATTTTCTCTTAACAATTACTTTAGGAAACTGGGGAATGAAAACATTGAAAAAATAAGTAAACATAAATGAGCACATTTTTGTCATTTTTATATTATATCAAATACATTATACATCATTCAGCTCAAAAACAAACTGGAAAAGTAAAGGGGCATCATTTTGTTTTTTCTCAGTGAACACACATACTCTTATTGATTAGTTCCTAAGTTTGGAAATCCCTTCTTTACTTTACTCAATCATTTCTTCCCATATTTTCCTCTCCCTCTTAATCTTCTTGAGTGGTGAAGGTGCTATTAAAATGTAAAAATTAAATACAGATAAATTATTACTCTCTAGAAAATATTTATTGATGTTTTAAGTTTCTTTCCATTTTCTGAGAAATAAACATCATGCACAACATACAGTAAAATGCACTTTTCCCATTTCAAATAAATATATTTTACTTTTGTAAAGATTTTACTCTTGAAAAGAATTTAATAATCTTTGTAATGCACCACAGTATCTTAGTCAGTGAAATAAAGCAAAGAAAATCTCTAGTTAAAGTGTCACCAGTTTTAATAATTCTCACAGCATTTTTCTGGAGAAAGGGAACACTATTCTCTGTAGAATTATATTTAGACTTGGAAACTGTTGCTTCTTGTTTAGAGAAAGCGAAGATAAACCCCTTTAAAAAGTGTTTATTGTCAAAAAGAGTTAGTTTGGGAGAAAGATAGCATCCAACTCCATGGCTGAATGCACTAAATTATGTCTAAACTTGCCTGTTACTTCCTAGAGACCACACTACCTTCTGAATTATAATGATTTCTTTGTATCACACTGATAATTTTTCAAAATTAGTGGTTAAGTATTTAAATTGACAGTTGTGTATGTAATATAAACCCAGACAGAATTTTAAAGCTCTATTACCAGGAAAGGTTAAAAATAATGGTGCTATACAGGACAAATTTAATCTTTTCACAATTGTTATTCTTAACATTTTAAGAAACTAAATCTACCAATCATAAAGACTTAACACAGACTCTTACATACACATATATCCCTGATCAGTTGAAGACAATGTGTTAGTTTGCTCTTGTAAGTAGTAAGAATATTTTAGTAACCTGCAAAAAATCACTTAGGTAGTCACCAATATTTAGAGTTTTCTTATGTATAATCTATCCACTCTCAAAAGAATATAACGCCAAGTAATAAAAGTCATTAGTACTGTCTACTATGTTAGCAGTTAATTGGTAGTTTATACACTAGCAAGCTTAGGGAAGTAAATCAAACCTGACTGTAGCCCCAGTCATACCACACAGTGGCTCACTTACATGGGTGCAGAAAAGTTGGTCAAACTATGTCAGAAGCTCAAAGCCTAACTCTGTCCATAAAAATCTTACACAGGCTATAACACAGGTATTAGATCTGTGCCCAGCATTGCAAAGGGCATCAACTACTGTCCCGGTGGGGACTTATACTATGCAATTTTTCCCTGTTCATTTTAAAGGGTAGAAAATTATATGCTTAGGCGTTCTTTCATGGCAATATTTTATTTTTGCACATTTCTGAAACAGGTAAGTATGTGCTCAAAAATTCACAAGTCCAGTAAAATAACTTTCCTTCTTTGACATTCTCTATAATTCCTCCATCTCAAAGTGTGTGTTAAAACTGTTTGCCATGGACGTGTGTTCAAAGATCCTCGACAGGCTTGGCTTCAGCAGTTCTACCGAGTGGCACGACAGGTGCTGGGTCGTGTCATCCTTCAGGGACATCATTTGGTCTGTCCCAGGCTCCCTTCTGTCATAATAGAGCGCCCAGAGAAGAGTGACAGTGAGAATCATGGCCAGGATTTGTGTCACTCCAATGGAGATCCCCAGAAACCTTAGCACCTGCAGTTGTTTGGTTCCTCGCAAAAAGGAATACATTTTCTTCCCACATCCCTGTAAAAGAAATAATATGGTCAATATTACACTGGATGTGCTACAGAGGGTCAAAATAGTGAAAATAATCTCTATCTTTAATGGAACCAAGTGACTTGAATCATGAAGTTTAAGACAGTGACTTGCAACAGGAACGCCTATCAGAAGCTGGAGGAGAGATGAAGTGTGTGGACTTTTTGAAAAGCTGGCCCAAGTCAGGCTGATAAGCTTATTCTTTCCTCTGTCTTCTTCACAACCTGAAATTGAGAACCACTGGTATAAAACACAACATCTAGAGCAGGGTTTGACAAGCTTTTTTTTTTTGTAAAGGGCCAGAGAGTAGATCTGTTAGGCTTTGCAGGCCATATGGTCTTTACTGCAACTACTCATCTCTGCCACTGTTAACAGGGAAGCAGCCACAGACAGTAAGTAAATGAATGGATGTGGTTGTGTTCCGGTGAGACTTGAACAGAAGGGCAGCTGGCCAGAGCTGGGTGGGGCACAGGACACAGGCTGCTGACCCCTGATAGAGATTGATCCAAAATATTCATAAACTATGTTTCATTATTATTATTTCTATTCACTGCTAGATTATAGCTCATTTGGTCAGAAGCTTTTCCCAAAGATCAGGAATGTTTTCCCAGTTTGCTGCTGAAACATGCTGGTGGGTGGAAATCAGTCTATTCCCCTCTTCCTAAGCCCCACATGCACACATACCTCTGTCCACTGCCTGTCACAGAAATACACATAGGGGCATTTACAGCATGACATCAAGTTCTAGTTCTACCAGGTAAGGGTTTTAAAGGTACCTTTAGCTCTCCTATAGACTAGAGACATCTGATTTTAAAAGATTAGCAAGCATTTTTTTTGTGTGTTGTTGTAAGTACAAAAGGCTAAGGAGTGCCTATAGTAGATACAGAAGAGAATTTTAAAAAAACAGAGAAAAAAGTGTTAAGAGAAAGAAAAGCCACACTGAAGGAAAACTTGGTGGATGGGAAGAAAAGGAGGTAGAATGTGACTAATTATTGTCATTAAGTCACCTCTCAGGTGAGCAAAGCATAGGTGACCTGCCATGTCTTTTGAATCCACAGCAAAGAAATGATAATACACTCTTCTAAAGGGAAACTGATTCTCAGCTAAGGTGAAAATCTAGGAGAATTTTATAAAAATAACAAATTTCAAACAAATATTTGAAGATCCTCAGATATTACTCTACTTAGAAGAGACCAGTCCTGCCATAGTTTCATGGATGCTGGCAGAGACAAAGGACTTTATCACTCATAGTAACAGAAATAGCCAGAGGTATGTGCTGGTTCCTCGAGTCCCACAGGCAACATTAAGAAAGCCAGATGATGCTTGCACAGAGGATGGGTTGCATCATGGGAGAGGAACCTAAGCTCAGGGAACCCTAATATTTTATAAGGGGCAGTATGCATATTTTTCCTTTGCATCAGACAGAGACATTATCTTTATTATACTGGATAGTAAATCTGCCCTTTTCTCTGGAGAGAGATCCTACTTCCATCTTCAAGGCTATTTTTCATGCAAAACCTTTGAAAAGACAGTGTAGAACAAAGACAACTAGCACATCTGCTTATAAGACATGCAGAAATGCAAGAGACACATGGAAAATCAGTTTTCAACAATGAGAACTTGATTTTTTAAAGTTTTTATTCTGAGTTTGGGGTAAAAATGACACAGTGCTTACCTTGTTGAGGCAGCTACTTGAATAAAAATAACCAGAAAGATATTTAAATATCTGTCCCCTTGTCTTCTTCTTCAGATTCCACAAAAAAAAAAAAAAACACAACTAAACCAAGGAAGGCAAGATTACTGAATCAGTTGTTAATTTGTTCATTATATTGGAGGGGATGAGTGAATAATAATAGATTTCCAAAGACACTGATCAGTAACTATATCCCAATAAGTCATTAGTCTCAAGAAATATAATCATGTAAAGCTAGTCACAGACACATCCCAATAACTATATTATCTGGTTTACCATGTATACAAATCAATAGAAAAAGATAAGCAAAGTTTCATCAACTTCACCAAGAATGAAAATATTTATAATTTAATACTACTTAACATTGGTTTAATGAAATCACTTCTTTGGCCGTCTTACTTATTTAATGCACACACAAATAGGCATGTCATGTGCACACGTACACACACATTCTGTGAGAAACCAAAATAGATATCACAAGAAGACAACTCACCAAAGTTCAGAGACTCTTTGGAGTTCTACTCAGCCAGTCTATTAGAGTCCATTCACTCTTACATTTATGTGCCATTCTAATAAGCGTCCTCAGATGACACTGAATAGAATAACGAATAAGATCATTCTGAATTTCAAATCCCTGCTCTGCTATTTAGGAAGCTATGCGACTTTGGGCAAGCTATTCTCTTGGAGCTTTAATTTTCTCATGTGAAAACATAGATAATTATAGTGCCTATCTGTTTGGGATGCTGGAAGAATCAAATGAATAAACACATTGAAACACCTAGAATGGGGCCTAGTATGTGTTAAGCGTTCAGTAGGTGTCAGCTCTTCTCTGGTGTGTCAGCCCACAGAAGGTAAGAAAGCTCGAATTGAAATAGATAGAAAAATCTATGAGAAGCAGGTATTCGTGGATAAGCATAAGGTACAACACTTTTAACAAGACTATGAAAATGCCAAAATCACTGCATTGTGTCACCACTGAATATTGATGCAATAGCCCTTGTCCACAAGAGCCAAGGTGGCTGTCACTTGTTTTCAGGACAGGGAAGCACCTATCCAAAATGATTAGTTGTCACAGAGACATTCTATCACGAGTCTTCTCATTAAGCAGAGAACAATTTAAAATAGTTTGGAAAGAGTTACATTTAAAGATAGTTAAGCTTAAAAAGTTTAGCTTCAGACATTTGGTAAATTAATGTATATGGACATAAAACGTAGCATCAGTGCCAAGTAATGCAGCGCCTGCTCAACATATCTATCTTAAACAAAACTGATATAAGAGGCTGTAGATTATATTTAATTGATTTCTTACCTATGTTCTCAGGACTTAGTATAAAGATGGAAATTTAATGAATAAAGGAAGAATTAGTGTGGGCCTATTAATATTTTGGTAATAATAATTAAATTTCAGAATTAAAGGTACACCAGGAGAGAAAAAATTGTGCTGATGATTCAGGCCTGGGAACAGCTCCAAGTCATTTATCATTTGATTTTTACCTTTTCAGTAGTCCCTGGCATTTAAATTTTACCCATACAGTTCTTCCTATTGTCTTAAGATCCCCCACCCCTTTTGCCTAATTCATTCTAACCTGAAAAACTGTGCAGGAAAGGCAGTATTTCTTTTTACATCTGTGAATAAAATAAAGCAGAGATTAATAACTAAGCTACAGTCTACTGTGCTTCGTATTCTGGCATGGGGACCGTATTTCAATTTTATTTTAAACAATCACATTTATTTTAAGAAGGTACAGTAAATTATATTATCCAGAATGGTTTGGCAATGTGATATATTAGTTAACACTGAACATTCTGGAGTAGGAGGAGACCTTGGAAGTCAATGAATTCACCTTTTTAACATGTAAAAATATGGCTAAAAAGCACTTCTAAAATAATATCAGCAAAACTGGCAGTAAAGGGACCTGTGAATGTCTCTCCTCCATGTGAGCAAGGAAAGCACTAGCAAAAATTGTCAGAATCGACTTTTTTAGAACTCTAAAAATTAAGCAAAGGCTTTCAGTGTCTGAGATTTATTTAAGAGAAGCACCTGAATCTCAGTAAGAACAGCAAGCTTTGTAGCAGTTTAACTTGCGCTGTTCCCATCCCGCTCCCCAGCTCTGCAGTAGCCTTGAAAATTAACAGCTCACAGTTATGGTGAAAACCAGGGGCCTGGAAGCCAGGGACAGCTCAATAGGGTTATAATTCCTTCGAGGGCCTGACATTCTCAGGGAACTCCCACCTGGTGGTTTCAGTAAGACCTTGCTTGCAAGCCTGCCTTTATCTGAACCTGACCTGCAGCTCTACCAGGGTGGACAGCCTTTCCCGTGGGAGTGCTTGCCAAAGCCCCAGAGGCACCTGTGAATGCTGAGGCTGCCCGAGGCAGGGGTAACAGTTACACACAATGAGCGAGTCAGAGAGCTTGACGGGAGAAGCTGGGAGGACGAGAAGTCTTGGCAAAGCCGTGGTATATCCATGCGGATCTAGAAAGTCACAGAGGTGAGCTGAGCTCATGCCCAGGGAGTGCGCAGGCGACGGAAGCGCTGGCGAGGCTGTAAAATCTCACCTCTGGCTATACGTGAGGCTGTGTGCAGCCTTGGCAACGCTGGGAAAATTACTCATTCCGGGAATCTACGGAAATCACTAGTTCATTCAATAACTGACTGCTAAGCTAACTGAGCAGAGACTTCAATGGTCACACAAGACAAAGACTTTACAGAGTTAGTTCAGGAAAATCATTAATGAACAAACAATAACTTCAGGGAGAGAGGAAAATCTGATTCCCAGAGTTTCTACATCATATTATTTAAAAGGTCTAGGTCTCAACAGAAACAAAAATTACAAGATATGCAAAGAAACAAGAAAGTATGGCTCATATACTCGCAAAATGAGCCATCAAAGAAAGAGCACTTCCAACGAGAGGAACTCCCTGCCTCACCAGCCAGCCCTACCCACGCCTGGGCGAAAGCAGCTCTGGCCCCGCGTTCCCTTGCTGGAATCTGTGTTCTTAGCAAGACGCCCTGGTCCCGGCGCCGCCTTCAGATGATCCCTTGTCATAGCGCAGGGAGCCGTTATCTGAGGGGTCGGCGCTTCCCCTTTAACCACTCTGTCTCTCTTCTCCAGACTGTGTTCCTAGTCCTTCAAGTTTTCCCAATATATATATATATGTTGCATCGTCCTGATGACCTCTTTGTGGATTGTGTGGACTTTTGTCAGTGTTTCTTTGAAAATAACGCTGATTTTTACTTTAGAAAACTAGAGAATGCAATGAAATACTGAGACAACCACAGCTGTTGTGAATGGG